GAAGGGGGGCCCCGGGCTGCGCGTTCCCCGCGCCCACGGGCGCGCGCGTGCCTGCGTGTCCGAGTCCCTTGGCCGCGGCCGCTGGCACGCTAGCCGATTGCTTCCCTAGCGGTTTCCAAAGTGACTTCTGCGAGCCCCACAGCGCCGTCGCTGACGTGCAAGGCTGTGGGGACTTTAGGGCAGGAGTTCCTGTTCTGTCCCGAGGGTAGATAGACATGCCTTCCCAGGGAGCAAGGTCTCCCCATGTGTCCTAGGCAACTTGGCCGTTTAGGAGCCCAGGGAACGGGTTGTGAAGTGCCACTCTTCAGAGGATGCGCTTCTCGGTCCCTAGTTCTTTACTGAGTGCCAAGCACCGTGCTGGGGATAGTGGAGAAGACCCTCGGAGGACCTTTGTTAAGGGCTCCTATTGCCAGGCGGCCCCTTTTCTCTGGCTATAGACTGATGGCTGACGCAATGCTAGAACAAGGTAAGGAGTCAAGGATACTACCTAGAGTTCTTAGTGGAGGCAGTAGATAGGGAGCCATTGACCAAAGGAAAATATTATGCAAGAAAAAAAAACAAACATGAGGTTGATACATGAGAGTTGAGATACCCAAAGTACTGCCCAAATGTGGCATTTCAGTAGATGGTTGAAAATGCGAATTTGGCATTGACATGGGTTATCACTCTTAGGAGTGTCGACATTGCTATACAGGCAGCAGTTAAAACCATAGTTAGGGATGAGTGAATGGTGGTGGATGTACCAAATATTCCGTTTTCTTCTCAGTACATGGTAGGCTGGCTTGTCTGTCCAGGCCTTATGTTTGGGTCAATCTTCATGATTTTTGCCAGGGAATTGTGGCTAGTTTCTAGATCCTTTCACTATGTGCCATGTCAGCTATCAAAGTCCCGGAGACTGAGCTCTGTGATGCTTCATCTTGGGAAGGAAGATAGCGCAGAATCGAATCTCAATCACTTAATGAGTGAGAAGAAAAAGCACTGACGTGAGAGTGTTGTTACCAAGACAGGTGTTTTTCACTTCTGACTGGTGTGACTGAGAACAGTTCTAAGAAATGAAGCCTTGAGACCGTTTCATTTCATTATGCTTCTTAGAGTCGTGTAAGGAGAATCTGGAAGACTGCCTCAATATTCTTCTTCTATTATTATTATTATTATTATTATTATTATTATTATTATTATTATTATTAGGAACCCCTACTTCCCACTGTGTTTCTGTCTCTATCCCTGGTTTACTCCCACACTACCAACTCCATAAATAAGCCTTGTGTTATTCTCCAGGTCACATTGCAGAAGACTATAATCCAGATGCAGAGCCCTTAGTTCTGAACCAGCTCATGGGCTGCCAGCCAGCCTGGATGGGCCAATCCTGGATCCTGAGTCCTTCTCTATCTACACAGTGCCCTGCCTATCCGAGAGATTAACTGTCTCCCCGGAGCACAGGGCTTTGGCCACCGCAGTGTAAACTGCAATGGAATGTTTCCACTCTTGTCCCACTGTAATTTATTTGTCATAGAATTGTGAAAAGTGTATTTTACAACTGGAAATGAGGCATGCCTTGGTCTACATGCAGCAGCCCATCATGGTCAACCTAAACCCCTTCTGGGAACATATTAAACCTTTACCTGGCCTACAAAGGTGTTTATGACATCACTGCCTGCTGCCACCCCTACCTCATCACCCCTTGCCCTTTCGCGCACCAGCAAGCTGGCCTCCTCTCTCACTCTCTCACATGGGCAAGTTTCCCACTTCACACTGATCCCCTTCTGTCCCTGCTGATCTCTCTTGGGTCAACAATCTTCCCTTGTCTCTTAGAAAGCCCGGTTTCCGTGTTTGGTTTTATTTATTATTTTTTTGACTCACTTTAAGCTCTGCTGACCTCTCCCCAGAGATGGCATCCCTGATGACTTTTATCTGAAGGACAAGCCTGCCAACAAAGAGTTGGGTGCTCCCCACTTTCCTCCTAGCACAATCCCCACCCGGCATTGCCTTGTGTGTTTAATTCACTGTCTGTCCCTCCAAAGTGAAGACACCGTGAAAGTTGCCATTTTTACTGTCTTGTGAGACCCAATATCCTAGCTTTCCATAATACCTGATGGAATTTTTGTCTTTAATTAAGTTTATTTAGTTTATTGTCATTAGTTAAGTTAATATGGCATCCAGAGAATGTGCTTCATTATGGAATTTTAATAAATTTGTTTCCATTTGCCACCTCTCCTAGTCTTCCTCTGCTCCCTGACCCACTCTTAATAGTCACCTTCCCTGCCACCCCTTAATAAAGAATTTCTTCCTGCATTCATGTAACAATTTATATATTCTATAATCACCTCTCTTTTACCCCTCCCTGCTTCCCTCAGACCTCTCACTTTAGTTCCATAACACACGCAAGCACACATACACGCACGCACGCACGCACGCACGCACACGCACACACTTGTTTTGCATATGTCAGTACATGCAGTATATTTTTTTGAGTCTGGCTTATTTTGCTTTGCATGCAATGTGTTCCATCTTTCCTTTTTTCTGCAATGTCATAACTTCAGCTTTCGTTAGAGCTGAAAAAAATTCCCTTATGTATATGTATCACATATGTATCACATTTTCTTTATCCATTCATTTGCTGGTAGGTATCTAGGGTGGTCCCATTTCTTAGCAGCCGTAACATGAGTTTGCCAGTGCCTCAGGGTCCTTTGGGTACATACACCCAGGAGTTTTTTCCTTTCTTGTTTATAGTATAAAGGTTTTTTGTTTGCTTGGTTGTGTTTTTTGTTTGGTTAGTTTGGTTTGGGGTTTTTGTTGTTTTCTGTTTTGTTTTGAGTTTTGGAGAACCCTCCTTCCTGATTTCCGTAGTGACTGGCAGCACTCTAGCAGCTCACCCACCAGCAATGAGGAAGGATTCCACAAGTATTCCTCTTCCCTGTGTCCTCATCAGCATTTGTTCATCGATGGCTACCATTCTACTGGGGTGAGAGGAACTCTGAGTGGTTCTAACTACATTCACCAACAGCAAAGGAATCCACTGGCCACTTGCACTTCTTAGAGAATTGCCCATTCAAATCATTAATGCATGTAATGATCAGAAGATTTGGGAATGTTTAATTTTTCAGTTGGCAGTGATATTTCCCCCCTGTTCTGTAGGATTTCTTTTCATTCAGTTTTCCTTTTCTTTACCTTTTGCATTATCCCATTTGTCAGTTCTTAGAGTTACTTCCTATGCTGCTTGGGGTCCTTTTCAGAGAGTTCTTGCCTATGCTTATATATTCAGATGTTTTCCCCTAGCAGTTCCAACGCTTCTGATAGTATGTGAAGGACGATTTTTCATCCATTTTGAACCGAGTTTTCTGCAGGGTAAGAAATATGGATCTAATTTCATATCCAGTTTTCTTGGCACCATTTATTGAATAGGTTGTCATTTTTCCAGTGTATGTTCTTGGCACTTTATTAAAAATAGGTGGATATAGCTATGTATGTGTGTGTTTGCATATAGATCCTATATTCTGTTTTTTATTCTGCATATCTGGTGTGTGTTTGTGTGTGTGTGTGTGTGTGTGTGTGTGTGCATGTATGTGTGCACGCATATGCACTAGGCTATGCAGTTTGAATTGCCATATGTCTGCATCGTGATTTGCTATATTAGTTAGTTAGATATTGTGACACTCTCATTGGCAATGGAACACATCTCCACACCACAGTAGCAGCTATCTAAAGTTCGCTTCAAAAACCTCTACTCATGCAAAACCTACATCGATGGTTCTATAAAAAAGTAGATTTCAAGGCAACCAAAATATGAAGCAAAATTGAAATTATTAAGAGTAGAAGGTTCTCCAAGAATGAAAGAGTAAACAATAGGACAAGTATAGGCTTCTCTAAGAAAAAGTCACAATTGGGTTTTAATACAATGGGTATATGTTCTGGGATATTTGATCACACTGTGAAACCTGAGACTGTGTTAATAAAATCAACTTTGGCTCAGGTGGCAGAGCCAGCAAGTAGTTGACAGGAATTAGCCATAGAGAGTACAGAAGCCCCAGGAAGACGGATAGAGAGACACACTGGAAGCAGTAGAGAGGGACTTGAAGTTTTGCAGGCTTTTTTGGCTTGGGATGGCTGGAGAGACGCACTCTTGCTGGATCTCTGGCCAAAAAGGAGGTCAGTTTGGCCTTTCTGAGCTGGCAGGTTTTTATCTCAACATCTGACTCCCGAGTCTTTATTGGTAAATACAAAGATTGAGACTTAATTAAAAACTACATTTGGTGGCAGCAGCAGAGCCAGTACCGGCAGGACTGGAAGTCCAGCCAGGCCACGACCTGAGAGGCTGGGTGCTGACTCTGGAGACTCGGGGCTGCAGACAGTAGTTAAAATATTAGTAGATTCAGGTGGAGCCACTAAGCCAACCAAAAACAACAAATATATAAATATATATGGGATTTGGGTGACTCTCAAGTTACATTTCTAAAGATTGCTAAGAAAGACCCCTCCCCCTTTCTAATATTCTCCTAAGAGTGTAATTTGTAGTAAAATGAAAGGGTAAAGAAGTGTTCTCAGTAGACAAAGTTGTAAGGTGGATTTATGGGAGGCATTATTTAGTTCTAGGGAGTGAGTGTTAGGAATATAAGGTTACACATGTTAGCCCTATGTAAGCCTAGCTTTATTTCCTTGATTGAGATATCTCTAAGATTTGGCCTTAAATGAGAGCGATTTATTTATTGTCTTTGACAAAATATTTTTAGAAAACACATTTGGTCTCTGCAGACCATTATGTCCTTACCAGTGAATGTAGCTAGTCTTTCTCTGTCCCACCAGCCAACTCTCAAATAACCACACGGAGACTTATTATTAATTATGAAAACTTGGTTGATAGCTTGCTTAGGCTTGTTTCTCACTAGGTCTTATAACTTAAATCAACCCATTTCTATTAATCTATGTGCTGCCACATGGCTCATGGCTGTTACCTCTCTTCACGCATGTCTTACTTGTTCTCCATCTCTTGGTATCTCTGCCTTCTTCCCAGCATTCTCTCTACCCTGAAAATACTGTCTAGCTATTGGCCATTTACCTTTTTATTAAACCAATCTGAGTGACATATCTTCACAGTGTACAAAAAGATTTCCCATTTTTGTCTAAATAAAAAGGAAAGGTTTTAGCTCTAACATAGTAAAACTATATACAATAAGAACAATTATCAAGTAAGAATTACATGTACACCATTTAGTCTATTTGTATTTAGCAAATTTAGAGAAAACACTCCATTATCTATCCTCACTTAATGAGTCCAAAGTTTTATACCTAGTTTATCTTCTATCATAACTAAAGAAAACTATAACTATCTAATCTTCAACTCCATTAAAGATCCCAGAAGGATATATTATTACCTGACTAAACAAGAAGTGCCATGCAAGCCACTTCCAAAACTAAGAAACAACAGAGACATCTAGCTGCCTAGACAGTCACCCCAAGTTTTCTGCAACA